TTGACATTCATATACATAATTTACACAATAGGACAATTATACATTAACCAATAGCTTCAATCATTAACATGAATAATTCTCCACTTTCTTCTCCTTCCTTCTCATGCTCTCCTTCATGCAATCATTGTCCATCATACTTGATCTAAATGGTGGGTTAGGGAGGGGTGAGATTCTAGGGAATCTCAGCAGCAAACAATAACCACCCAAACATATATGGCAAGCTTGACATTTATAACATGCTTGCAACTTAGCATCTTTATAACATAATGACGTGTTTAGAAATCATCATGCATTTATTATAAAACACATAGGCCTATGGCATATTTCAAACACATTCATAATCACAACACATGAATTCATAAAATCATATAACATAGAAATATGCCATACATGCAAGCAAATACCAAGCACAAAAGAGTAAGGTCAAGTTCGCTACCTTGTGTCCTTAAGCTTTCTTCTTACTCCCTTTTTGTTTCCAACCATTAAAGTTGCTTCCTCAACCACATATAAACTTTGTCTTGGATGCCTCAAGGTCCTAATCACAGCCACCAGGGTCACATTACTCATTAGGACTAAGAATTACACAACATGGAAGACTTATGTCCTTAAACTTAATCCTTTTTTCCTTAATTTATAATGTAGTGTTCTAGCTTTGTAAAAATTGTTCCCCTAGGCCAATCCTACAAAATTTTTCCCAAAGAATCCAAATATGAGTTTAGATTGATTGAAATCCAACTCCTTCCCCTAGTTCTAGGCCAAAACCAAAATCTGCCACTTAATTTCTAGTTTTGATTCCAATGCTTCCAACTTCATTCTTTCATCTTATCCATATACAATTTTTCATTTTAAACACATTGAAAGCATCAAATCATCAAAATCACATCCTAGGCACAAGAACTAGGTCTGGCCGAAATATTTTCTCAAGTTACACAATCATGAAATTCAACCAATTTCAGCATAAAACTACTTGATTCATGTTCCTTTCAAGCCTTTAAACATTATTCTAACATCAATTTCATCCTCCCTCACACTTAAAAATTTCATGCAGCACCTTCCCTAAGGGTTTCAAGCTCCCAAAAATCATTAAAATCCATAACCAAGTTCAACAACAACAAGAGTAGTAAAAACTACATAAAAAACCATGAACATACCTTGTTTCAGAGCTTGATCTTGCATAGGACCACTTAGCCTTTCTTTCTCCCTCTTCTTTCCCTCTCTAGAAACCATTTTGCTAGAGCTTCCCTAAGGTTTCTATGGCTTAGGATGAAATGAGAGGGAGGGGAGGGGTAGTTATAAGAAATAAGACTGAATCTAGGCCGTTGATCTTAAAAATGTGTGGCTTGATTTGAATCGTCCATTTTCTCTTTTAATCTTATGGTGACAAGTGTCCTATGACATCATGCTTACCTCATCATGATGACATCATGCTTACATCATCAATCCACATGCTTTTAACTTAGCCATACACGTGTCTTGCATCCAGCCGTACACGTAATACCTTCTTTTCCCATCAAACCGTACACTTGTCTCTTCCTTTTGCCTTCATCATTAAGGCATTAAAATAGGGAGGAAATTAATATAAAATTCATACAAAATACCACCCTTAGGCATTCCTCCACCTATCTTGCCATTATGTATCGTATAGAGTACTTTTTCAGGCCCTGACTTATCCAGGACTACTGGAACATGTTCTGGTACCATTTTCTCTCCTCAAATAAATTCACATGGCATTATATAATATGCACAAAGATAGAGTGATGCTCTTCCCTTGTTCTTCTATTAAAATAATTAAAAATAATTAATAATATTTATTTCGGAGTGATCTTGACCGAATTCTTTCTACCGGTCCACAACTCTGAGAATCTATCTCCGGGTACCAATACTATTTATTTATCACAAGGAATTCCTCTAATTTTTCTTAAGTCAAAAGTCAACCTCTAAACATTTGACCTTGACTTTCCCCGGATAGTATGTAAATAGGATTTAAATTCTATTAAAGCCAACCTCTTCACTTTCTGAGGATGGAATTATTTTTAAAACCTGTGATAATTCCTCAAGTATTTTCTCATATTTTCTTCCAATTATCTGAGGCCTCCCTATACTTTAAATAATTCATTTTAAATAGTATTCCAATTCAGTCAAAACTCTGGGAATTCCATAATTTCCTTTTAGGGGCATTTTTGTCATTTTTAGCCTCATACAGGCCTCTGAACCTTATTCCTATTTTTCTGGAATTTTTCTAAAGTGTTCAGGCCTTAACATACTATTTTCCATTTTCTGGGATTTTCGGGTATAATTTCCATTTTTTGCCTTTACTAGCCTAAAACTTTGTAAAATTACAATTTTGCCCCCGGTTTGGCTTAACTTCAAAAGTCACCTCATTGAGGCCTCTAACATAACTATTGGCCTACATTCATCTCTATTTCTCATTCCTAAACCTCGAGACTTCTTCTGAGTCTCTAACTTTCTCTTTTCTCAGTCTCAGAAAGCTTTCTCTTTGCGATTTAGTCCCTAGGAATCCCTTTATCCTTCCAGGGAATCTCTGGAACTCTTGTCATAAGGGGTCTGGTAGCCTCCTAATTCAGCCTAATTTCAGTACTTTTATGCCCAAAATCCAAGATGTGACATTATCTGTTTGAAAAAATAACAGATATTAGGTTAAATTTACCCTTGTGATATTTTTTTCAACTTGGAAAAGCTCATATGTATTTTTGCATCCAAGTTTATGGTGCTAGATGCACGTTTGTGAATACTTTATGAGTAGATTTGCATATACATGTCTTCGTATACATCCCAATATTACAAGGCCAAAAAAACCAAAGTAGGATATTTCCTAACTGTAAACAAATTGTTTTTTAACTCAACCCGATCACCATTTGCATAAAAAAAATTTAAAAATTTATTATATTCTCATATCATGTTGTGTCAATATACAATATATAAATCCATATCAGTGTTTTTTCGGAGCTGGACTTGGTCAACCATGTTGTAGTTGTTGAGTCAATTGATAACTAATGCTCAATTTGGATGGCAGGTTATGTGTCCAACATGTCTCTCAACTGGAATGGCCATGGCAAGCGAACATGATCTTCGCATTCATCCTTTTGACTAGAGCTCTTATATAAAATTTGTGTTCCATGTTAAGCAATTCCTAATGTGTACTTTTGTTGTAAACGTTTTATCAATGGGACAATGGAATTTTTTTTGTATACATGTACAGATACTTAATTACATACAGAGAGGGAAAAAAGAGAGTAAGAATAATTATGATATAACATTTTCTTCCTTCTTAATGGCTAGTTGTGCTAAACGTAAGAGTTTGTACATGAATTTTTTTCGATCTTAAAATATGAAAGTTTAATTCACTTTATCTCAAATTTTTTTTAATTTTTTTTACTGATTATAGATATTAAAGGTATTTTTTTATTTAAGAATTATTTTTCAAAATCAAATGATTAAAAGAGTACTTTTTTATGAAGTCAAAAAAATAGTACTTTGAAAAATCAATATACATGTTTTCACTAATAAATAATTTGATTTTTTAAATCTATAAATTAGTTATCTAATCTCTATATTTAGATTAAACAGAATATTTTTGTGTATTCTCTTCATAATCAGGTGTTTGATTGGGGGACAAGCTCAATTTACTCATGGGAATGGCTGTAGAGCAAATTTTTGAAAAGGATTCGAGAACCTAAAACAAGAAACACAGGATGTGTACAATATATTTAAAAATCAAACTCATATCACCATCTATATATGTGTGTGTGCGCGCGCACTATGAAGTCTTGATTTTTATCAACACCTAACCCAACAAATTACCATATACCATAGACTTAAGTTACTACTTATACATTCATTTTTATATAATTATTAAATATTTAATAGTATTAAATTAAATTTGAGCATTATCATGCTCTACTAAAGGTAACTAGCATGTGCTTCCCACGCAATGCGCGGAGAGCTTGTAATTTGAAATTTTTTTATTTTATTTTATAAAAAAAAAACTCACCTTTTACTACACATAAATATATCATAATTCATGATATTTCATGAATTCATGACACATAAAAAATGAAGATATGAAAATTTCTAAGCACAATCTCTAAGCTTTAGTTAAGTGATCACATTTGTTTCATTACATTTGTATCATGTACAAATTAATATAAATTATTTCCTACTGTTAATTGATAAGAGTCATGACATTTTAGCCTCCAATCATAGTTATGAATTCAACTTTATCTTTTATGGCTGGTCCCCAAAAAAAAAAAAAACTTTATCTTTTATGACTCTCTGCTTCCGGTTAACATTTAGATATCATATTGAGTGTAAATTCCTACATCTTCCAATAATAGTTGATTTTTAACAACCATCCCAAAATTATGTAAAAATATTTTCCATCCTATCATGCTCCTAACTCACATAGAAGATTTATTCAATAGTAACTATAACCTTCTTTTTCAATGATAAAAAATAATGGAAAAAATCCTCTTTATATGTCAAGATTAAAAAAAAAAAAAAAGCTTACTTCCTCATGAAACGTATGAGGGCGTGGGCTTCAATGGTTATAAAATTACAAATAATCATATTGCATCAACAAACAAATAATCCACGTTGGTTAAAAAAAAAAAAAACAAATCATCCACTTACCATTATGATTTTCTAAATCCTACCCAAGTCAAGGATACATATTTTATGGCCTTACATCCCCCAAATAATTCAAGGAAAAAATTAGAGCAGGTATAAAATTTGAAGAATTCCATACTAAAATAACATCAATCATTAGCACCATGTAAAGGAACAGAAACGCAGCATCACTTGCAAGGTGCTTAAAGTGCGGGAAAACACATAACAGGGATGTTATATTTTATTATTGATTCATGATGTGCAATAGAAATTACCAACCTTAAACATCAAGATCCTCTACATTTAATGATTTATACTATTGTGCAACGAATTCAAATTAAGAGACAAATGTTACCAAAGTGACTTAAATGGGAAAATGACGCCTTCACTTAAAACTTCCCCATTGTTTGTCCGCATTCTTTTTCATAAAGAAGCTTTAAAAATTAACATATAATACAGACATTGTAGTTGACTAATTATATATACATACTGACGATATTGCTACACTGGGAGACGTGTCTCATAACATCCACATGATTAATACTAACAATAAAAAAAAAATACTGGACATAGTACTCATAACAATGTGTTCTGCACAGAATGGTCAGTACTTTGATGCAGATAACTCTTATCTTTGAGAGACAGGGCTGTTGATGGCGTAATGGTGACAACTTTTCGTGCATGAACAATAGCACATAGGAATAAGAAACTTGCACTAAGATAGCTTCTGCATAATATTTCCTCACTCGTATCGCCAGGGGAACATATTTATCTCTTTTACAGGCATTGATATTGCCATGCACCGCTTCACTGGTATACCAGAGACAAAGCTAATAGCTTCCAATGGATTATAGTTCCTTGTGCCTGCATTAAAAAAAGAAACCCCCTTACGCCTCTTAATTGCATCAAAAATGCATAAGGCTACATTGGAAGTTTTGTAGGCACAATATTTCCTTTCTGAGATAGAACATAAATAACGAAAATCTTCTCGTGTTGACTCATTGATCCAGATAGGCAGATACAACACACTGGGAAAAAAAAAAACAACAAACACCATATTTTATATAGAAGCTATTAGCTTGCAACACAGGAACTGAGAGATGTACTAATTAAAAGATATAGAAGCAGTGAAAGAATGAGATAGCCAATATATGTACATAACATTAGAATTTATTCAAAAGCTGGGTATACTTTCAACAATTTGTGTAAATCAATGACATATTAACTTGGTCAGGCCAGATTATTAGTTTCAGACAGCAAAAACACAACTTTTCTTATCTACTTTCATACAGATACCTATAATATCACCCAATAATATTTCTATTTCCTTTTGTCATTAATTGGTAATTATGAAATATCCCCTGAATGAAACTTCTAAAAACAGTCCTTCCCCAAACTTTCTACAAATCAAAGTCAGCCTTGCGATCAAAGCATGTTATTTGTTTTCCTGATGCACGCACGTTTAAGAATTAATGGTTAAGTGACACTAAACTCTGTGAAACAGAAAAGAAGGAAGAGAAAACTGATACAGAAATCTATAAGTAGCAGAGGAAAGAGACAATACCTCAGAAAAGTCATCCTCTAAATCTCTGATTTTATGTAAAAGTGATTCTCCTTGCATTTACTTCTGGACTGCCAAAATCTCTCACAACACTTTAGATTCAGAAGAAAGAGCATCCACCTGCAACTTCTACGACGCCTCATTTGGCAGAGCATGAGAATATATTGTCCTTTTTTTTTTTTTTAAAATCATGTGCTTTGTTAGTTCACGCTTGTATTTGACAGCAAAGAAGCATTTGAATGTGTTTCCACTGATTTATACATGATCTGATATCCTTTTTTTTAATTCGAAAAGAAATGTGTGAATTTTTAACATTGCATGGAATGAAAACTTCATGAGATAACTTTTGCATATTCTGATAAGTGATGATATAATTGAAGTTTTATGGTGAACATTGCTTCTTATATTTTGAGTTTATGTTAGAATGAATTGGATTACTATTGTTATTAATGCTATGGTCTTTTTCTTGACTCTAGCAGATCAAGAATGCGAAGTTTTCATGTCCTTCCTACTGTGTATATACACTTGGGAAAGTGATGATGGAGCATTACCCATTTGTTTATAAGGATCAGCATATTATAATAATGTCACTTAAATTGATTATTATAAGTGTAAATCCAGATGTTCATTATGAAGTGCATATAAAGTAGTCCAAGAACACAGATTATATACGCAGCAGCTAAAAACTACACTTTATTTGAGTGAATATACATGCTTGTTATGAGAAAATACAGAAGCAATCAAACCAGTACCTCAGCCTTCTCATCTTGCCCGTTCGTTTTAGCTTCAGCTGGATCTCATCAACCTTTATGGATAATATCTCTACTTCGTTTGAGCTCAGGATATGCAGAACCTTTGCCATCCTGCTAAAAAATAATGAACATCATTTTAGTTTTTACATGCTGTTATAAGTAAGTCAATCCTTAGACTCAAAACCTCATCATTTTAGTTTTTAATAATAAACCCCATACCTCACAATCAAAGAGGATCTTCATTATTATCCCTGGCACACAGCATGGCATGTTTGCACTTACCTGTAACCCATTGGTAGAGAGACAAAATCATACATGGAGAGAGAAGATGCCCGTTGAGAGCTTTGATTTTGCTGGGAGCAGTGCTTGTCCAACATCGATATCAGATCTTTTAGACTTGACAATCCCCATGGCACAGAGAACCGTATTAGTCAGAAGGTGAACAGTTATATATAACGCACAAACACAAGATAGAGGATGGGCCGGGGAGAAAAATAAAAGGCGAAGAAGGAGAGAACAGGTGCTGAAAGTGATATGGAATGTTCTTGATCATAACAACAGTGGTTCTATTGTGGTTACATTCCTCCGTAGTTGTGGGGAATGGAATGAAAGGGCGACCATTGGAAGTCTCTCATATCTAAGCATCTTGTTCCCTACCTTCAACCTCTTCCCATCTGCTCTCCTCGCATTTAAAGCAGGTCGGTTCTTCTTCTGAGACATGCATCTAGATTTTTTTTTTTTTTTCGGGTGTTCTGTGTTTTAGGTATCGTTCTCTTGCCACAAAGAAAGAGGGCGAGGGCATGGTCAGAATCCTCATCGTGGCTGGTGCCGTTGCTTCTTCGGTGCTAGCATGATCGCAATATCTCCCCACCGTTCACACATATCTACATAAAAGATTATCGGTAATGGGGATCTACGAGATAAATTTAAAAGAAGATCAGGGGAGAAGCAGAAGCAATAGTGAGAGGGAGATGGAAGAGATGAAGAAAATTAGAGGAAGAGCAGAGAGTACAAATGCCTTGCTGAATGCTTAAGATGGAAGCACGGATTCATCGGCGAGCATGAAAGAAGACGGTGAAGAAGAAAAAATCATAGAAGGCAGATAGGAAGGTTATCGCATCTGAGGTAGGCGATGGGGAGAAGTACAAAACCGAAGTTGCCACACGGCGGGAGGCTTGGGAATTTTGAAATTTGAATTGGTAGAAAGCTTTTTAGAAACATATGGGCTGAATGCGGAGCCCAAAGTATGACATTAACTAAAATCAGCTCAAACGAAGCCCGAGATAAACCTAAAGTGGCTTGTGAACAGTAATATGTATCTAAAGCTGAGAATAAGCCATATTCGAGCCGGCTTGGTGGAAGAGTATTTATATATATTGATTCTTCCTATGATTTTTTTATCTACAAAATTTAATAATCGATTTTGTTTAAAATGAATGTGAGGTCCTTTTACTCGACCCACCAATTCTATTTATTACTCATCAATATAAAATAAATAATTTATTATTTTTCATTTACTATTTATTATATTTTTAATTAGGGTTAAGGTGCAATTTTAACAACAAAGTTTACCCGAAAGAGTACTGGGCACCATAAAGTTTATTTGCATGCAAAAATATACATGAAGTTGTCAAAAGGGAGCATCTGGCACCATGCCGTTAACGTCTGTCAGTTTACTGTTAGAGGGGCCCAGAAAGTCAGTTTTAAGGTGTATTTTTAACAACAAAGTTTGCATCAAGGGGCATTAGGCACCATGAAATTTACTTGGGTGTAAAAATATACATGAACTTTGTAAAAGGAAAAAAATAACAAAATTCTTCAACTTCCATAAACATCTATTAATTTTATTCTTTTGGAACTCACCAAATGCTATATTTTCTCTCCATCAATTTTCACTTCCAAGTCGATCCATCTTTCTCTCATCATAGTCAACATGCATACTCTCTCTGTCATGTCGTTTTCTTAGCCTCCAAACCTTTTATATGTATTTAAGCAAAACACATAATATAATATTTAAAGTAATTTATTTATTTATTTTAATCTCCTCAAATTAGTCCATTGGATCCTATATTAAGGACTAGAGGTAGTACTCGAGTGCAAGTAATGAACATCATATCCTAGAAGGGAAAGATGTGTTTTGCTTAAATACATATAAAAGGCTTGAAGACTCAAAAAACAACATGACAGAGAGAGTGTGTGTGTTGACTATGATGAGAGAAAGATGGATCGACTTGGAAGTGGAAATTTATAGAGAGAAAATATAACATTTGGTGAGACCAAAAAGAATAAAATTAATGGATGTTTATGGAGGTTGAAGAATTTTGTTATTTTTTCCTTTTACAAAGTTCATGTATATTTTTACATCCAAGTAAATTTCATGGTGCCTAATGCCCCTTGATGCAAACTTTGTTGTTAAAAATGCACCTTAAAACTGACTTTCTGGGCCCCTCTAATGGTAAACTGACAGACGTTAACGGCATGGTGCTAGATGCTCCCTTTTGACAACTTCATGTATATTTTTGCACCCAAATAAACTTTATGGTGCCCAGTGCTCTTTCGAGTAAACTTTGTTGTTAAAATTGCACCTTAACCCTTTTAATTGTATCAATCCCATTACAAACATCTCTTGAATCTCATAAATTTAAGAAATAGCATTTTGAAAGGTTTTAGTGAGGATTTGTAGTGACTTTCTGTTTTTCCTCATTATTGTATCCAAACACCCTGTTAAATCAAGGGTAAAAGTGCACCCATTACTCTGATCTTATTTTTTAGGTGCACCTAATACTTTGACCTTATTTTTTAGGTGCACTCAACACTCTCATGTTATTTTTTTAAGTATACCCAGTACTTTAATATTTTATGTGGTGCAATTTCACAATTCATGTTTTAACTTTATCGCAAATTTTCCCAACCCTTGCTAGCCTATAATGTCCGTTAAAATAAGAGAACAGGTAGGCATAATTTTTTTTTTTCATAAACTTCTGGCAGGCATTTAGAATTTCACATAAGCAATCAAAAAAATATTTATTCCCCTCTGTCCTTCTCTTTTCCTCATCGAGAAACCAACGGTAGGAGCACAATGGTTGACTAATTTTCACATTACAGCAAGCAGGAAAATGATTCAGATCTCATATATTGCATCAAGCTCTCCGTGGAAAGAGAAAGGATGCTGAGTTCAAAGGCAAAAAGGAGAATTTGGAATATGAGAGAAAGACAAAAAAAGTGAACACCCACCGAAAGTGGCAGCAACAGTTAGAACTCAAATAGAAAATTAGAGCTCCAAATCTACCATTTATTCATGTAATTCTACTTGCAAATTGAATTGCAAAGCTTTGTTAGTATCATGAATTCAAACACTCCCTAGCATGCAGGTCTTTCATAACCACAAGTTGGTATGGGGTGGATTTATAATATCAACAATGACTCATATTTATACCATCTGAAAAAAGATTCACCCATTTCTTCTGCAACCATCTTCTTCAAAAACTCAAATCCATACTTTAAAACAAAAACTATATAAAGAAAAATTAACTACCCAAATCCATGAGAGAGAGAGAGAGAGAGAGCCGACGGGAGGCAGCTTTGACGAGGGCATGAAGAGTTGCGACTCTAGTCTGAGAGAGAAAGAGAGAAAAAGAGAGATCATGCTAGGTGGAGAAGAAGAAATTAAGCCAACATGAAGGGGGCAGTGCATAATGGAACAAATCTGGAAGAAGAACCTCTATACACTGCCAAAAAAAATAGTCAATTCGCAACTGTTTCTTCGTAATAGTTAAAGATTACTGCTACAAAATGATGATTTTGTAGCAGTTTCAAGGTAAACCGCTACAAAATTGCAATAGTTTGCTCATTGATACGTTTGTGGCGGACATTTGTAGTGGTCATGGTCAAAAAAACCGTGACAAAATTGGCACCAAGTTGGCGCCTCTAGGTTCAATTACACAATTATTTGTCCACACTTAACATGCATATCTTGACATTAAACACGCAGGTACTTAGGAAAAATCAAATCCTATATTAGGAATAAGGCATGGCCAGAGTGCTCAATTGCAGAAGATTATTTTGAAGATAATGTCCTAACTTTCTGTTCATGATACTTTGATGATATTGTGACATATTTTTAGTCGACCACCTTGAGTTGACGATTGTCTTGCTGCTCTTTCCACATCAAGCAATCTCTTGCCTCCTATTAGGAAACCAATTGGAGCATTCGAGCACATCAAACTTAATCCTATTGAGATGTTGCAGGCACATAGACATGTTTGGATAAATTGTAGTCAAGTTGAACTCTTCCTCTAGTCTTTTTAAATTTTTAATTTCTTTATCTTTCACTCTTTTACAAAAGTACCCTTATTTATAGAGTCTAGAAGTCATGTGGCAGCTACAAGTCTACAAACAAACATTGGCTAAGGTTGATAAAAAAGTCCATAGAGAATTTCCCAATTGGTTTACCTGTCAAATATGTAATGATGACAACTCTCACACTTCTAAACTCAAAGTTCTTGCATTTAGTCTGTTTGAACATGCAAGAAGATTTACTACATATAATGTTAATGGGTTCAAGTTCTGTATGGTTAAACATGATCAAGGTTTGCTACCACAAAATTCTAGAGTTTTCAATACATTTAGGATGAGGAGTTATGCTAGCAGTAGTGATGGTGACATGCGATTTGGAGGTGTCTCCTACTATTGAAAGCTGATTGACATTGTCAAATTAAATTACCAAGGGCTCTTGACCATGACTCTATTCAAGTGTCCTTGGACAAATATAACACCTTCATGGGGTGACATTAGTTACGATAGTGAGCCCTTCCAACTAATAAATTTTGAAAACTTCTTTTCCAAAGGAGATGATAATTTAACCATTGTTAGGTGCACTTTTTTTTATATATAATTTTATTATATTAATTACCAGCTTTTTGCTTAATTTTTATTTTCAGGCAAAGTGATCACAAATAAAATTTTCAACTATTCATCTTACACACATTATGTTTTCAAGTACTGTCACAATTTAATTTTTTGTTTTTGAAAAACATCACTGCCTTCATTTATAGCTGGTTTCATAAAACAACTATAAATATGACAACAACTACAAAATTACAAAAACTGTTTTAAACATCAACAAAACCATTACAAATACACATTGCTACTAACATCATAAAACCGCTACAAACTATGAAAGCAACCGCTACAAAATACATTTTGCTTTCTATAAATATCCCTTCTCCCCTTACTCTTTCCATATTTCCTAACCACTTCTATCAACTTCCTCTATGTGTCTTCTCCTTCTCTGATCTGTTATCATATATTTTAAGTGTTCTTATTAATTTAAAATTTTATTGTTCTATCTTTAAATATTTTTTGCTGATATCATTTTCTTATTTT